TGCTTTGCCTTAACCGTGTTTGTTATAGTTACGTCTTTTACTTCCTACAGATGTTCCCTTTCGTTTACTTGTCCCAATCCTTTGGGATAAATATTCAATGTAAGATTTTGTGTCGATATTTATTCGGGATTTTTACAATCGCATTTGCATTTCCAAAAAAGAATGCAAATTATATTATCATTATCCCGCGTGTGTGTGCATGCCTTTTGTTTTGTTAGAAAATACGAGCCCTTGACACAACTGATCATGATTAAAAGGTAAGTACAAGAATATTTTCTTTGCAATTTCACAAGAAATTAAGGCGTCAAACATGGTTTGTTGTTGTTGTTACTGTTTGTTGATGTTAACGGTTCTCATTATGAGAGAATGTAACTGAGTATGCGAGCAGGGCTGCCAGATTTGACGATTTATCGTCATTTTGACGATTTTTTGGTCAAAAATTGAAAAATGACGATTTGACGATTTTTGCCCAAAAAATGACGATTTTTGGTCATTTTAGTAATATTGCAATATTTGGGTTCTTTTTGTTATGTCAACATCAAAAATGTATAAAGCGAAAGAAATAGTAAAAAGAATATGAATATTTGGAATATGTGTGTGAGGTATACTTTGTACTGTTACAAAGCCAACAACAGTTTACGTTTACCCAGATAGATGAAAAACTACCAATCAGCTGTGCCGTTCTCTGGGTAGACAGCAACAAAACAAATAAAAGTTAACGGTTGTTGTTTTTTGACACGGGCAAATAGAAGAAAATTGGTGAACGGAAACGTTGTTATATTAAATTAAAGTTTCAATTTATACAAAGTTATTACAATGTTAAAAAGATTCGATTTGAAAGCATTTTTAAAATGGTATCTATGATAAGTCCCACGAATATTAATAATGAAAAGAATAATTCATTTTTCGATATCCTTAAAGAATTTCCACATTTTGTGAACGAAGATGAAAAACAAAAATTGGATTCAGAATTTCGCGAACTAAGGTTGTTTGATTTTGATAACATTTGTGAAAATGATGAAACCAATTTATTTCGTTTTTGGAATGCAATATTTGATTTGAAACGTGGTGATGGTTCATATGTTTTTCCTATAATAACTAAATTTGTACGGAAGGTAATGGTATTACCCCATTCCTCAGCAAATGTTGAGCGTGTTTTCAGCCAAGTAAATCTTAATAAAACGAAAAGTCGAAATTCCCCCAATAAGGGTTCAATGGAGAAATTTATACCAAAGATTATTTAAAAGTTAACAAAACAAATTGTTATGATACGATAATTAAAACCGACATGTTGAAAATGATTAACACAAATATTTCTTTTCAAAATGAATGACTTTATTAAAGTCGAAATTACTATTCAAATATTTTTTTATAAAATAAATGAATTTCTTGATTAGCTTTAAAAACGTGTTTAATAAATTGAATGCCTCTTTTATGTTCATTTTAATAAAAAAATATATTTAAATATATCTAAACGTGCGTATTTAAATTTTTGACGATTTTTGATAAAAAAAAATCGTCATTTTGACGATTTTTCCAAAAAAAATCTGGCAGCCCTGTATGCGAGAGTGCACAGGTACTCTTCTCAGGGTTTTGTTCACTGGTCTCTTACTGTGATATTGTTATGATTCAAAGCAGTGGGTGGTAATGGGAGGATGGATGTTAATAGTTGTGTTGTTGTATGCTTTCGTATTGTTGTGGTGCAGCTTTCATTATGGGAGTGTGTAACTGAGTATGGGAGAGTACACATGTACTCTTCTCAGTGTTTTGTTCACTGGTTTCTTATTGTGATGTGCTCCACAGCAGTGGGTGGTAATGGGAGGATGAATGATAATAACAAATACTGTTGTTGTGTGGTGTGTATTTCTCATTATGAGAGAATGTATGTAACTGAGTATGGGAGAGTACACATGTACTGTGCTTAGGGTTTTGTTCTTTGGTTTCTTACTGTGATATTTGTTATGATCCACAGCAGTGGGTGGTAATGGGAGAATGGATGTTAATAGCAAATACTGCTGTTGTTGTTGTGCGCTTTCATATTGTAGTGGTGTAATTAATATGGGTGGTAGGGGGTCGATCTCTAGTTTGTTCGCTCAATGCTGTTGGGTTGATACTTTAAATGGCTGTAACTTTGGCAATAATGGTCGTATTAATGTGAAATAAACATCATTTGAAAGGGTAAAGAGTCTAGTTTTAAATATTTATTTGTTCATTTTAGTATGTTATTATATTGTTTTATAGAAAAAAAAAAGAACAACAAATGATGTTCGGAATATCAAGGACGGTACTCAAAGTGTGCTAAATGTGTGTGTGGTGTCATATTTCCATATATTTTTTCTCAAGTTATTCATGATCGGAGGATACAATCTGCAAAAAAATATGTTTTTCTTTGACATTGCAATTCCTTTCGGATATTTATCATTGGTCTGATTACAATTTGCAAAGTTTGTATCATCTTCGAACTAGATATGAGTTTGAATGAAATATTACGATGTGGGCAGTTTGGATAAAATCGGATATTCCATACGCCTAATACTGGATTGAAAAATATTGAACATTTTGATCCTTTGTGGGGGGTACCATCTTCGGACTTGATCCTAGATCAAGTGGTAAGCATAGTAGGTCATACAAAAAACATCGGGTCTATAACCAATAATTTGCCGTTTCAAAGAATTAACCATAAATAATTTATAACAAGTGAAAAAGCGTTAGGTGCGGTCGGGCCGGATTTTGGATACGCTCCTCCATAGATATTCTGACAGGTACTAGCAATGAAAAAGAAGAATATAGAAAATACTAAATTACAGTCAATTCAGTGGAAAAATACGATAACAACTCCCAAAATACTGAAAATTAGGAGATACCGTTATATGGGGGCTACCAGAAAGAGTGGACCTATATTTATAATTTTTTTGTGGGGACATTTAGAATCCAATAGGAACCTAATGTACCAAATTGCAGCAGAATTCGATTGAAAAACGCGCTCAAGAACCCCAAAATACCGACAATTGGGGGGTACCCTTATATGGGGACTATCCGAAGAAATGGACCTTTATCCATATTTTTTTGTGGAGAGATTTGGTACATATTAAGAACTCAAAATACTAAATTACAGCCAGCCGGTGGAAAAATACAATCAAAACTTCCAAAATACTTAAAATTAGGAGGTACCGTTACATGGGGGCTACCAGAAAAAGTGAACCTATATTTATAATTTTTTGTGCAGGCATTTAGTATCCAATATAAACCTAATGTACCAAATTTCAGCAGAATTCGGTTGAAAAACGCTGTCAAGAACCCCAAAATAACGAAATTTGGGTGGTACCCTTATATGGGGGCTATGCATAAACCTGAACCGATATATCCCATACCTGCCTGCAGACAAACCTATACAAAATTTCAGCACCCTACCTCAATTCCTTCAAGACTGGAGGTCAGATGCTGGTAACGAGAATGCACCAGCTGATTAGTACAATTTAGCTAGAATTGGAACCTCAGCATCCTGTGTCCCGTGCACAAAAAAGGAGACAAGACAATATGTGCCAACTATAAAGGAATAAGTCTCCTTCCCATCGCATATAAAATGCTGTGTGAACGACTGAAGCCAATGGTCAATGACATTATTGGACCATACCAATGTGTCTTCAGACCTGGCAAATCCACCATTGACCAGATTTTCACTCTTCGCCAAATCCTGGAAAAACCCACAAAAACACATCAACACTTTCCACGTATTCGTCGACAATAAAGCCGCATTCGACAGCCCTATCCGTTCAGAGGTGTATAAAGCCATGTCTGCGTTTTGCATTCCTGCAAAATTAATTCGGCTATACAGGATAACTTTAACAGGCACACTATCAGCCGTTAAAGTCGGAAAGGAACTCGCTGAGCCCTTTAATACCGAACGAGGATTCAGACAAGGTGATAGTTTGTCGATGACATCGACATAATGGGTAACAGTCACCTTTGAACAAATTGAGAAGGAGTCTGCAGTAAACGGCAAGAAGATTAGGCTGATGGTATCAACGCGCAAGACGTCCAGTAGACTCGGACCAACTGTGGAACTTGAGAACTACAGCTTCGAGGTAGTCAAAGATTTTATATACCTTGGTACCGCCATAAATAACACGAATGACATCAGTTTTGAAATTAAGAGAAGGATAGTGATGACCAACCGATGCTACTATGGTCTGAGCAAACAACTCAAAAGCAAGGCCACCTCCCGCCAGACCAAACTCACACTCTACAAGACACTGATACTACCCGTGCTGTTATATGGATGTGAAGCATGCAGATGAGGCAGCTCTTGGAGTGTTTGAGAGAAAAATTCTCCGAAAGATCTATGGGCCGATCTACGGTGAATATCGCCGTCGAATGAACCAGCTATTCTCGGACATCGACATTGTTAGACGTATTGAGATGCAGCGACTACGTTGCCTAGGTCATGTTGTGAGAATGGATGAAGATGCCCCAGCCCAGAAGGCATATAAAAGCTGATGGTTCACGCAGAAGGGGAAGGCCACGAATACGATGGCAAGATCAAGTCGAAGACAACATTGCCGAAAATTGTCTTTCCAATTGGAAAAAACCGCGCAAAAGACCGACGCTTCTGGAAATCTTTTTAAACTCCCTCTCTTCATACATGCTCTACCTCCCCCATTTTCTGTCTTTGGGGAGCTCTTGTATAGAAGACAAATAAAAACGCCAATGTGTTTTATTTTTCCTTAAATAATTTTATAAAAAAATTACATTTATTTATAAAAAACATATCAACATCATATAAAACAAATACAATAATTTATTATTTTAAATTATTAGTTGTTAAGTATTATTTCATTTTGTTTTTCGATTCAAAAGGTTCTTAATTTTTTAGAAAAAAAAAATAATTTTCGAATCGAAATTCTTTGGATAAAGCCTCTCTCATTCTCTCTTCTTTCGAGGGCAATTTTGTAGAGGATTTGTTATTGATTTCTTTTTCTTAAAAATTAAAATTAGTCTTCTTATTGCTTATCAGGATCTACATAAGCTTCAACAAAATCATTGGCAATACGCATAGCTTTGGTGGGCCAAATGCGACCAACCTTTTCACTGTAGAGGAAATGGCGGGGCACGGAGGCTTCTTCCAAGCCAGTACGTTGAGCTTCAATGATGGAGGCGGCAGCCTCTTTGGGATCAACCAATTTCATCCATGAGAAACGGAAGCGTGGATTCTTGCACAGACCGGTATCAACCATGTAGGGGTAGATGGTGGTGAATTTGATCTGAAAGGAATAAAAATATTTTATTTCATATGGCATCAAATATTTAACTTCAGAATGTGATGAGAATAATAAGGGAAAGATTTAGTCATCCCTTTCCACATTGTTTTGAATAACTAATATCCAAAACTCCACCCTACCTGAGTATCCTTGTTGGATTTGCGCAATTCTTCGTGCATAGCCTGCATCAAACCACGTACAGCGAATTTAGTACCGCAGTATGGTACCAAATTGGGCAAACCGAACAAACCAGCGCATGAAGACAAGGCAACAACGTGGCCCTTGTTTTGGGCAACCATATCGGGCAAGAAAGCTTGGAGGATCTACAAAACAAAAGAATATCAAAAATTAATAAATTATTTAAAGGAAAACTAATTTTTAACCTACCCAGAAATGAGCCAAAACATTGATTTCGTACATCAAACGGATTTCCTTTTCGTTCAATTCGAACAAGGGGCGGCATGGCATAATACCGGCATTATTAACGATGACCTCAACAAAGCCATGTTCCTTCTTAATTTGTTCGTACAAGGCAAAGATGGCTTCACGATTGGTGACATCACAGCTGGACGTTTGAAGAGCGATAGAGAGAAAATGAATATAAAGAGAGAATTTTATAAGAGAGAAAATTCACTTACGTATAACCAAAGGCAACACCACCGGATTGTTTGATTTCCTTGACGGTTGCGGTATTATTGGCTTCGTTGACATCAACACAGATGATTTTGGCGCCCAATGCGGAGTATTGTAAAGCCAAATTTTTGCCAATACCATGACCAGTACCAGTAATGAATACAAATTTACCATTGACATCAACCTCTTCCTTCTTCATGAAGCCGCGGATGAAACCTTCAACGGTGGCATACCAGAATTTAACGAAGAATACGACAATTTCAATGATGTTTTGGATGAGGGCACCAATGTCTTGGGTGCTACAAAGAGAGGGAGAGAGAGAGTGAGAAACAAAAATTAATTATTTGGAAAATTTTGTATTTATAAATATAAAAGGGTGGCGTGTTGATGACTGATCTTGAAATTCTGGCTGAGCTTCAATATTGATTGGTGGAGTGCAGAAAGTTCCTACTTAAAACGTACGAAAAGTACTAAAATGGCATCGACTAGAAGAGGCGAATTTACCAACCGATTTTTGAAAATTCTTTCGTTACTTATATTTAATTCCGTTTATATAGTAATGCTATTGATCCGAAAAACGCAGTGTATAGGGCAAACCTGCAAACAATAGCAACACACAATGCAAGAGATAATAATCAGTAACGTATTCGGACGGCTCACAAGAAAGACGCATTTAAAGAGTTAATCACGCCCACGGGCTTAAAAATTACAAAATGGCGCTGTGTTAAGTATTCGCTTAACTTGTCACGTGTTTTATCGAACTAAACAAAAAAATATAAGAAAATCTCGTTCATATGGTGCGTGGTCCTATACCTTCAATTCTAATAGAAAGTAGGCTAGCTGGAGGATGACGTGCCGAGAAAAAAAAAGAGAGAATTATCGGGAGGAAAGGAGAGAGGAGAAACGTATTTGCAGACAAAAGAAGAAAGAACAAGAAAAACGTCAGAGCGAATCGACATGTACAGGAGTCACAAGGAGTAAAATACCAAACCGAAGGCTTTGGTGCAGGCACATCCTCCTATAGAGATGAAGATGGAAACCTGGTGTCATATATATACAGCGTGTTGAGAGTTTGGAAGGATCATTTTGCAAAGTTTCTGGTATCAAATAGTGGCGGTGAAGAAGAAACCCCAGAACCAATAAGAGATGACGGTATAGAGTGTATACCACCTAGCCAAGATGAGGTCAGAATAGCAATAAATCGGCTGAAGAATAATAAAGCAGCAGCTACCGATGGTCAGATGCTAGTAAGGAGCATGCGCAAGCTCAGTACTACAATTTGGCTAGAATAATGCATGCCTGAAACCTCAACATCCTGTGTTCCGTACACACAATATGTGCCAACTATAGAGGAATTAGTCTCCTTCCCATCGAATATAAAGTGCTAAAGTGAACCACTTGAAGCTAATTGTCAATTATATCATTGGACCATACTAATGCCGTTTCAGACCTGGCAAATCCATCATAGGCCAGATTTTCGCCCTTCGCCAAATCCTAGAAAAGAACCACGAAAAACACATCGACACATTCCACCTATTCGTCGACTATACGTTCAGAGGTTTTTAAAACCGCATTCGACAGTCTTATCCGTTTAGAGGTTTTTAAAGTCATGTCATTAATACGGCAATGCAGGATAACATTAACTAGGAGAAGGTCAGCAGTTAAAGTCGGGAAGGATCTCTCGGTACAGAACGAGTATTCAGACAAGGTTGACCTCTTGAATATCCTGCGGGAAAAGGTCATACGTTAGGCAAAGGTGAACAGAAATGACACTCTTTACAGAAAACAATATATGTTACTCGCCTACGCCGACAACATCGTCATAATGGGTCGAACATTGCGAGCGGTAAAAGCCACCTTTGAACGAATTGAGAAGGATTCGGCCAAAGTGGGACTGGCTGTAAATGGCGAGAAGACCAAGCTGATGATATCAACGCGCAAGACGTCCAATAGACTCAGGCCAACTGTGGAACTGGAAAACTACAGCTTCGAGGTAGTCAAAGAGTGATATACCTTGGTACCGCCAGAAATAAAACTAATGACATCAGTAGTGAAATTCGGAGATTGTTGGCCAACAGATATTACTATGATCTGAGCAAGCAATTCAAGGTCACCTCTCGCCAGACCAAACTCACACTCTACAAGACGTTGATACTACCCGTCCTGTTATATGGATCTGAAACATGGGTACTTGCGCAAGCAGATGATTTTGCAATCGAACGGGTATGGTGGCACTTGACCCATCGACGAATTTCAATACCGTCAACAAAGCCAAGCAGTTGGAGAATATAGAAAAAGCCTCCGAACAAGTTTTAAACGTTGAATAATTAGTGTATGTCCACTGCAATTCGAAGTAGAAAATCCAAGGCAATGACCAGCAAACGGTGGCTATGTCAATCATTCTTTGACATGGGCACCGATCTTTTTATACATTTTCTAGACCTCAAATTACCTTTGAGTTCAGTATTGAGAAGCTAACAGAAGGCAAATTACGAGTCATGATATTTGCAGATGAACACATGCCCATCTGTGGGTGGTGATCTGCGAGTCCAAAAGCAAACAAAATGTCCTTAATGTTCAGTATTGAGAAGCTGAGAGAAATCAGTTACGGGTAGTGGTGTTTGCAGATGAAGATAATGCATGTGCTTCCGGATCCGAAGAAGAGACTACCGATAAACGTGCTGAGAGGAAAAAAATCAGATGGAAACAATAATATTGAGTGTACTGCCCAGCTATCATACCGTCCGAAGAACAGGCAACAAATAAGCGTACAGAGTGGAAAATACGAAATCAAAGTAGCTGGAAATCGGGAAAAGTAGCAACGGATCAGTTATGGTGCAGTACACTGGCCAAAAGGTCCGGTGAGAAAAGTGTCGATATTTATGAGGTTGCTTAATATGTGAGACTAGGAGAATGCGATGTAGTACAAAAATGGCTGTGCGAGTTTATGTCGGTATGGTGGAGCAGCGTCTGATACACGTAGTATCGATTAGAGTTGTCCTGGCATATATAATAATAGTTTTTCATATTTTCTAAAAAGTATATTTACGTTCTGAGCCATCAACACACTTCCAAAACGGTTGCGCAAAAACATATGTATAACATAGAAGCAATTGTAGGTGTGTGGATTAATTATCCATCGCTACAACAAAAATCTGATTTGAAAAGGACTGTTCCTAGAATGAAGACAAATGTCGAACTTTGACAAATTTGAATTTAAGGGGACCCCCCCCATTCTCGGGGTCAAAAATTTTGTTGATATAATTCGAATCTACACTAATTATAGAATGTGCCTACAAAATTTCAAATGAAAATCTCAAGAACTCTTGAAGATATAGCCGATTTATTGTGTCAGCATCAAGTGACGGCTAAAGGGCTTCTCAAACTTTAAACGCGTTTTTCTCTAAACATTTTTTTTCGAATGGCGGGCCCGATAACTCAAATACTAATAACCCAATCGATTTCAAATTTTTACACGTTTCTCTGTGTATAGCTATCGTATGAACTAGGATAAAGCCAATCGGTGAAGATCTTCCTCATTTTTTAACTTGGGTTTTGGTAAAAAATCGGAGATTTTCCAAAAATATTTTTTCAAAGGTCCACAATTTTGTTAATTTTAGAGCGAAGTCGATAATCCTAGTTCATACGAGAGCCAGACATGTACTCTTTCTAACACCGTTGGAAATTTCTGTGTTCCGATGTTCCAGTGAGGAGTTATCATGCCCACCATCAAAAATAAGGGCTTTTCTTTAATTACAAAAAACAACAACAAAACAACAACAACATTTTTTTGTAAATTATTTTTTTTCTATTTTAAATCTTCAATTATATATGTGTAAAGTTACAAACCTTAACAAGCATTGGTATTGATTTACCAGCCCTTTGAAAATCTTGAAAAATTAAAATCGAGAATGGGTGGGGTTCCCTTAATTCGCATATGCAAGTTTCGCATCAGGGCGGAATAAATACAAGATATCAACGTACAACCTTTGTAAAGAAACATAGCCCAATATGCCTGATGAGCCGCTTAACCAACGGCGAAACGCGTCCTGGCTTTCCTTTTCATTGCAAAACTTAGATCATCAAGCTCGACTCGAAAGAGTATAAATAATCACTTATATTAAGAATAAATAGTAGCGGATGAGCTTTTCATTAAGAAGTTGCACTAAATCGAAATGAAAATACTTGCCATAATTGTATTTAGTGGTTAAAATGGTTTTCCTCCTTACACACACCCTGCAATCAATGGCGATAAGATTTCAAAACGAAAATTGAATTGCATTCAATTTTTATTCCGGCGTCTGCTTAATGAATAAAGGTATAATGAAAAAATATTTCTACTAATCACTAACTATTTGTTGTTGTACTGTCATTTCGATGTTGTAAAAATTACAACAAACAACTGTTATTAATCTATAAATTTGATATTGAGACCTGTGAGGAAGAAAGAGAGAAAGAGAGGTTGTGCAATAATGATCATGCCCTGACAGCTAGCTTGACTAACTAGTTATTATTAGTATAATCTAATGAAGCCATATATAGATACGTGTTCCGGTAAACGAAGGCAAAAAAAAAAAAAAAAATAGAATAACACCAACTAAACATATTGAGTCGGAATCGTATCACCTACAGACCACTTATGGAATACAAAAAAGCTTTCTTATCAGTTTCTATTTTTTTTTTTTGGTTTGGTTTGAAATTTCAAGAACCCCCCAAAAACAGACCACTTGTGTTCGAGCAGAGTGATTATGGTAAAATACGTATGTATGTGACTACATACACACGTATGAATGTATATTTTTGGTGTTATCCTTATCTTGATATCGAAGAAAATATTGAAGAGACATATATTCTGGGCTCAATTGATATGTTGTCACTTTGGCTAAAGTTCAATTCGTTGGGGGCTCTTGACAACAAAGGCCTTTTACTAATTTTAGTCTCAATCTCACAGCCCCTTAATTTAGGCACATTAATTGTGACATTGAACTTAAAGCGTGTCACAAATGATAACGATTTTTAAATTTAAAAACAAAAAAAAACAATCATCTACTGCACTTATGTTGAAAATTTAAAAAAAAAATCCTCATAATCTAGTGTCAAAGTTCACAGATCAAGTTGGGCGCCGATGGTGGTGCTGCTGCTGCTCTACTGTGTGCCCATTCATAATTCCGAATTAATGACAATTATTTGTTTTAGGTTTGGCAATTATTTGAAGCATTCTAGATCTGTTGTCTGTTATTCGAAATAAAGCTTTTCATTGAAAAAAATATATATTCAACTTTCCGACAAACCATGGCAC